CCACAATAAAGAAGAGTATGGGAAAGCTCTGTTCTTTTTTGACTCGGGTGCTCAGACAGTTACTGAAGAGTCACTCGAAGAAAGTCTAGGTGTGCCAAAGTACACCACTGAAGTATGCATCATGTCAGTAATAGAGGCCATATACAGGGTGACCAAAAAGTTCTGGCAATCTCGTGTTTGTGCGTTTTTGAATGGCCATTATGGTCTGTTTTCTCTCCGATGGGTTATTTGTATTCCGCAAGCCATTTCGAACTACCGTACGAGTCATCTATCCAATCACTTTCGATTTCTCCTCGCACTGTCTCGAAAAAATCAAAAAGTTGCAGTTGTTGAAACCCATCTTCTGGTCGGTGCTTGTTGCTTGAAGAATGTGCTCGCCACCGACGAGAAAATTTTCGATCACAACTACCGGAATTGTTGTCTGCTCCTCAGAAAAGGTCAACAGAAGGCAACGGCTGTGAAATCCGTCGGACGCAGACTCTTTCCAGCCTCAGTCACGGTCTGAGGCGGGATCTGTGCCACCGGGAAGACCTCTCATTTCTTCATCGAGCGCATCGTAAAGATTAATGCTGTCTACTCCCAACAACGCGTTCTCCGCGATGTACTGAAGCCATGGGTGTCGTAGCACTTCGGCCCGGATGGACACGTGCTTCAGCAAGACTGGGAGCCAGCACATCCTGCCAAACCCACGAACTGCCGCTTGTGAAGAGCTGCTTCCCGATTTTGGGGCAAGGACGTTTGGCCTCCCAACTAGCATGGTCCGAACCCCATGATTATTCCATCTGGGTCGAAAAATCTCAGGAATTCGATGCGCAACGGTTTACCACCTGAAAGTGGCGTTGCTGCGTGTTTGGGACCAAACTACAGCAGAAGAATGCGCGACCATTGTCGGACACTTTGGAAAACGACTACGTAAATGTGTTGAGGCTGAAGGAGGCATTTTTGAACACTTGTTGGAACTTTGTTGTATACGGTCATTAGTACTGATTAGATGAAGACTCCCAGACGTTTAGTTGGCTGATTTCCTTGTCATTACTAATGGCTTCCCCAGCGTAAATCCCAGCCCGGGCCAATGTCGCCTTTCTCAAGTTAAACAGCATTTGTCTGGCAAACTCAAAATTGCGAGGAGAGCGTCAGAGGCCGCACATTTTGGTGGGATTAGATCACTACCACGAGCTTGTAGCAGCTTCAAACAGTACAATGCAAACTCCTACTGGTCTCCATATAGCGAATACTGTCTTCGGACCCACCATCTATGGAAAGGGCGCCCTACAGACAGCAAATACTGGCCCCGCCATGAGTTATGGAATGACTTCCATTGAAGAACACTCAGAGCAGGAAATTCTGCAAAAGATGTTCGAACTTGACGGGCTAGGAATTTCACCCGAAGAGAGCCAGAAAAGCGATAAAGCGCTAGAATACCTAACACAGTATTCGAAAAAAGTGTCATTTTGTGGTGGGTTCATCACCGCACCATTCCCTCTGAAAGACAACATTTCTCAGTTAGAAGATAATTACGGTATTGCCATACGGCGGCTTGAATCTCTACAGACGCTATTACAGAAAATCCGGAGCAAGTGCCAGTGGTACATGGAAATATTGAAAAAATACGAGCGAGAGGGAATGATTGAACAATTCTCTACAAGCTGCCGGGATTCAGCTGGCATCTATTATATGCCCCATTCCGGAGTGTGGAGATCCAACAAGAAAGTCCCCCTACGAATAGTTTTTGATGCTTCATCAAAAAAGAGAGGGAAACTATCATTGAATGACGTCATTGAAAAAGGAGAGTCATTCATCAACAAAATTCACGATATCCTCCTGACATCCCGAGCTAGCAAAATCGTACTTTTGTGCGATATAGAGGCAGCGTTCACACAGGTCCGACTTGTTGAACATCAAAAAGACCTCTGTAGATTTCTATGGCTGAAAAATATCAACCACCCGCCTACTAAAGACAACATAGTCTACTATAGGTTTCGCAGACTCCCTTTCGGAGTAACGGCATCGCCGAGCATATTAAATATGGCGCTTCCTACTATATATAATCCGCTATGTGTGTGTGTGTGTGTGTGTGTGTGTGTGTGTGTGTGTGTGTGTGTGTCACGAAATTCATAGCGAGCGTCGCAGAAAAGATAGGATGACAGTTCCAAGAAGTGATATACATGGCAGGACGGGAACACTTTTGGTGGGTGTCAGGAGGTGATAACACTTGATAAGATACGATAAGGGGCCGTAGAAGGGGAGGGTGACTGAATTCGTAGCGCAAGTTGCAGCAGGTGTGGGACCGTGATTTCAAGGAGTGATATACATGGCAGGACGGGAACACTTTTGATGGGTGACAGGAGGTGATAACACTTGATAAGATACGATAAGGGGCCGTAGAAGGGGAGGGTGACTGAATTCGTAGCGCAAGTTGCAGCAGGTGTGGGACCGTGATTTCAAGGAGTGATATACATGGCAGGACGGGAACACTTTTGGGTGACAGGAGGTGATGACACTTGATAAGATTCGATAAGGGGCCTTAGAAGGGGAGGGTGACCGAAATCGTAGCGCAATTTGCAGCAGCTGCAGGACCGTGATTTCAAGAAGTGATATACATGGCAGGACGGGAACACTTTTGATGGGTGACAGGAGGTGATAACACTTGATAAGATACGATAAGGGGCCGTAGAAGGGGAGGGTGACTGAATTCGTAGCGCAAGTTGCAGCAGGTGTGGGACCGTGATTTCAAGGAGTGATATACATGGCAGGACGGGAACACTTTTGATGGGTGACAGGAGGTGATGACACTTGATAAGATTCGATAAGGGGCCTTAGAAGGGGAGGGTGACCGAAATCGTAGCGCAATTTGCAGCAGCTGCAGGACCGTGATTTCAAGAAGTGATATACATGGCAGGACGGGAACACTTTTGATGGGTGACAGGAGGTGATAACACTTGATAAGATACGATAAGGGGCCGTAGAAGGGGAGGGTGACTGAATTCGTAGCGCAAGTTGCAGCAGGTGTGGGACCGTGATTTCAAGAGTGATATACATGGCAGGACGGGAACACTTTTGGGTGACAGGAGGTGATAACACTTGATAAGATTCGATAAGGGGCCTTAAAAGGGGAGGGTGACCGAATTCGTGGCAAGTTGCAGCAACGGCGGGACCATGATTTCAAGTACTGATATGTAGGGTGGGGCTGGCAGAAGCTGATAACAGTTGATAAGATCCGATAAGGGGCCTCGGAAGAGGAGGGTCATCAAATTCGTGGCGCAGGTTACAGCAACAGTGGGAACTCAGATCCGTGAGGTGATATAGGGTGTGGGACGGGAACATTATTGGCGGGCGACAGAAAGTGATAACAGTTGATAAGATACGGTAAGCGGCCTCGGAAGGGGAGGGTCATCAGATTCGTAACGCAGGTTACAGCAACAGTGGGACCTCTGATCCGAGAGGCGATACAGGGTGATATGATAGTGATACGGGACGGGAGTGTTATTGGCGGGTACGGAAGTGATAGGAGCTAAAAGTGACAAGGTAACATGGGAAAATCCGCTTCACCGCTCACAACAACAATGCGATCGATATGACTCAAGTATAACGATCTCAATGATTCCAACAGAACTCATTCCTCACTGCTTATTAGTAACGACATCGTGTACGACCGCTAAGCCAGCTCTATTCCAAATGCATGTGGTTTGTTTACAGAGATGTTATGAACAGCAGCAACTGACTTTATCACTCTTACCACAATTATCTTCCATCAGCAACTTCAGTGAGGGCCATTTAAAGGGTTCCACTGCTGAATGCGGTAGTGCATTCCAAAGCAAGACGCTTTAGGAAGACAGATTGCATAAATTATAGGCTGCTTCAGTGGCTGTCCAAACAGGCTGCACTATTTCCGTGTAGGTTATGAACGTACCAGTCGGATCGCTGGCTAAGGCCGGCTTTCCTCCTTCTGTGATGCGGGGGGGGGCGCTGCTGCTGCTTCTGACTTGACGAACAAGCGCTGCTTTTCAGTTCTTGGCTGATGCAGAAGATTCCTTTGAACAGTGTGGTTGGTCAACGATCCTTAACTTAGCACGCGGCAAATCCGCATGGCCCGGCGAAGCCGGGCCATGTCACAGAAGGAGGAGCGCCCGGCGACAGCCGGGCGATCCGACTGGTATGGCATATCTGAATAACCAAAACACAGAACTAGCCAAAGAAATTTCACAAAATCTGTACGTAGACAATATTCTGATGCAAGCCGAAACTTCTCAAGAAGCTCTACGAAAGTACAGAGAATCAAAAGGCATGTTCGCAAAAATAGGAATGAACTTGCGAGAATACATCTCAAACTCGAAGGAAGTAAACAACTTGATACCGATCGAGGACAAACTCGAGTTTGGCCCTATGAAACTCCTCGGAGTTAACTACAATACCGAATCAGATACCTTCACATTATCAACTCGCTTTCCAACAATGAGCAAACTTACAAAGAAGGATATCGTAAGCCAAATAAACTCCGTATACGACCCAATAGGCCTTGCGGTGGCCACTTCTGGTTCGACTAAAATCAATGATGCCGGACGTATTCTACTGATTGGAAAACAGTCCTACCCCAACATGTTTGCCAAAAGTGGAATCATTATCCTCGGAGGTCAACAATGCCCGCATATCAGTACCTCGCACCTTATCTAACGACATGTCAGGTGAGAACAAGTGCCTGTGGGCATTTGCCGATGCAAGCAACGCCGCAATTGCTGCTTGCGCGTATTTACAAGTTCAAAGAACAAATCTTGTGTACTTATTTGTGGAAAGACCAAACTAAATCCAAAAAAGACAAACCATACCTAGACTGGAGCTTGTCGGAATCCTTATGGCAGTTCGCCTAAGTCACTCTATACTGTCTTCTATGAAAAGTGAAATAAAGAAAATCTGCGTAGTGTCAGACAGTGAAATAGCGCTCTACTGGCTCAAAACTTCCAAAAGGTGCCCGTGTTCGTATCAAACCAAAGAGAGATCGCATTATGAAAATCAGAGACCAAATTCAAGAGAATGACGTCTCTATTTCCTTCTTACACGTCATAACTTCTCACAATCCGGCCGATGCCGGCACAAGAGGTTTAACAGCTAAGCAAATCTGTGACCATGACTGGATAAAGAGGTCCACGTTGGCTAGAAAGCGATGCTACAAAATGGCCGCTGCGTTCAATAGATACTATTGAAAATATTCCCGATGAACACGACGAAAAACAACCAGATTTTCCTTTGAATATACAAACAATATCGAAACACAAGCTCAAGAAAAGTTAATCGATCTCTCCAGGTTTTCGAACCTAAACAAGGCACTAAGGACGGTGTCTATTGTCGGAAAAGCTATACGGCTTTGGGTAGCCGCGACTAACAGTAATAGAGGAACGGTCATAAACCTCAAAAGCGTCCCAGAATATGACACATGCTCAGAAATCTCTTCCAAAGATTTCGAACTCTCAGAAGGGGTGATCACGCAAGAGCAGAAACACGTAATTACTTCGGAACTGCAGAAACGATTCATATGCGATAACAAAGGCATAATTCGCCACGAATCACGTTTACAGAACGCAGCTATACCGTTCGATACAAAGTCACCCATATACATCCCTGAAGCAGTCGGAATTCCGACTGATCATCAGGAAGGCACACATTGATAATGCTCATTGTGGTAAAGACCATACACTCGCCGTTGTCCGGCAACGTTTCTGGATCCCGCGTGCAGCAAGTGCCTTTAAGAAATGGTTAGGTAAATGTGCAACCTGCAAGACGTTACCAAGGCTTACCGTTGGGTGCCGCCCCAAATGCCTCCAGTACCAGCAGATCGAGTTATATCCGCAAAGCCGTTTGAAAGTGTAGGATGCGACTATATGGGACCGTTCACGTCAAAAACACAAGAGAAAATGTATGTGTGTCTGTATACGTGTCTTACAACTAGAGCAGTGCACCTCGAAGTAGTCGAAAACCTCTCGACAGGATCATTCCTAAACTCCTTCGTGAGGTTCATATCACGCAGGGGTGTTCCTAAACTAGTAAGATCCGACTGCGGCAGCAATTTCAAACATGGGGAGCAAATAATTGCCACCATGTTCAAAACAGACGATGCCACTGGCAGTTCTTTAATGTCGTACTGCGCAGCTGAAAAAATTACATGGTTATTCAACCCCCCAGGAGCCCCATGGATGGGCGGAGCCTGGGAACGACTGGTTGGTTCAGTCAAGAAAGCGCTCAACAAATCGATAGGGCGTAAACGATTAAGTTTCACAGAAATGTGTACAGTACTAGCACGAATCGAAGCGGTGCTAAATACTAGGCCACTGACAAAGCCAAGTTCAGGCGATTTGTCCATCATCCCTTTGCGTCCCGTGGACTTTCTACAAGGGAATGTGAGGTTTTCCCTTCCACAAGGAGAAGACGTGGACTCAAGTGACCTCGACTACAGTCCAGACTGTATACAATCAGAGAAACAAGCGATGGAAGCGTTTCGCTTCTCAGAAGAAATCGCTACCAAATTCTGGGAGCGTTGGAGAATAGAGTACCTAGTGTCACTGAGAGAGATTCAAAAAAGTCATCTCAGGCAACCTAGACACTTGACCCGAACATTCCCTAAGATTGGCGAGATAGTGTCGATCGAACAAGACCATATACCCAGAGGACTGGCTCTACGGCAAAGTGACCGGGATTGTCACTTCTCCCGATGGCTTCGTGAAGTCAGCGAAAATACTAACGCCAAATCACAATGTCATTCACAGGCCACTGAATGGAATCTATCCTCTTGAAATACGCAGTATAGCCGAGAAACAGGATAGCGACAAAGAAGTAGCACAAAATGCTAACGAAGAACTGCCTACAAGCAGTGCCAAAGAAGGCACAAAAAAGATTGCGGTAGAAACGAGGCAAAGCTTTCCTCGAGCGTCAAAAATACGCGCATATGACCTTTCCGCAATATGGATAGTGATTCAAACCAGTCATATGTGACGACATCTATATCATCTTCATTGATATTCCTTGCAATATCGCTGTCGGTACTGATTAGCCCGACAATGGCGATCAATAACTCTTCCATCATATCTTGCTCAAATGGCGTAATTAGCGTGCCACCCATCAAGGGCTGGTTTGAATTATGCATCGATAATGATTGTCAATCCATGAATAACACAACACGCTATATCAAATACTTACTACCGATATCTCCGACTGAAAAAGGAGCCAATGTGCAATTACGTACTCTCAGCGCAAACGGAGTACAAGAGCAACACTGGCTGTGTGACAGACCAAAGTTTTGTGAGCATTAGAGAGACCAAAGTTTTGTGACATCAATATCTCCTTTCGAAAAGCTTACTGGGAAACCCCCACTGCTGGCCTGCTGGAGCAATCGCTACTTCAGCAGTGTTAATTTATCTCATAATAGCGGCATTCATGTTTGCTACATGGGTTGCCGTCAGAATCACTAGAAAAATGAAATCTCACAGAATTTTAATACCAGGAAACCCAACTCCAGTTTGCAGTTTCGAACTGACACCACTCCCTAGTGCTGTGGTTGCATTATGTGCCCTAGTATGCTTAGTATCGCCCACAGGCGCATGTCAGTACGGTTTCATGCGTCACTCGGCTGACCTCGTGTGCAATGAAAACAACCGATGTCATTTAGAATATAGCAGAGAGCTTTTATTCAAGAGGCTCCAATCAAAGGCGATCAGCGCATCGAATTACATCTATAGGCAATGTTTCTATGAAAAAATTTTTTTGAGTTTTTTGGGGTAGGAATAGTTCAATAGTGCCGTTTTTTTGGGTAGGAATAGTTCAATAGTGCCGAGTTATGTATTGAAATTCTACATGCCAACAAAACCGTTGGATCAGCCAAGTTCGTCAAAAAAGCTGTGGAATTTGAGTGTTCGAAAATAACAGAATTTTTCACTAGACCGACGAAGTCAACAATATATCAATCTAAACGCTGCGCTAATGCGGGTTCATGCATTGAGAACAAATGCGACAGGCTCAAGCAAAATCCTGAGTTGAGTCGCAGTGCAAAATATCCAGGATACTCCGGCTGTATGAACAGTTGCGGAGGGATGTTCTGTGGATGCTTCCTACCTTTACCTAGCTGCTGGTTCTATAAAATCGCCCACAGACCAGTATCTGACCGGATCTTCGAAATAACACAATGTCCTCATTGGACTACTACGGTGAAATTAGACATAGAAATAACAATCGCAAATCTAACAAAAAAAGTTGAGCAATCATTTATTCCGTATATGGCTACTAACATTGACAACTTCAATGTTACTGTGATATCAATCCAAAGGCCATTGTACCCTCTAGAGGACAAGCGCTTTGCCATTTCGAAGGATGAGGCATATATGTTACCACCTAACTTCAAACTTCCGGTCGCATGCAGCACACCAACTCAAGCACTGCAGGAATTCAATACTTGTTCCAACAGGGTTCAGTGCAGTTGTGGAAGTTCGCCTTATAGTTGCCAGTGTCCACACGATTCGTTCCATAAGATTGTGAAACCCACAAAGTATACTACCTCTGAAAACTCCTCACGCGAACATCATGATTCGTGAAGGAAGCATCGTTGCTACGTCCAACGAGGAGGAAATGGTACTACGAATCGAGTCAAAGATGCTGCAAGATATGGTAGCTGAACTAACTATTAACCAAGAATGTGGCTTCAAGATTTCGAAGCTCACAGGCTGCTATGACTGTACGCTGGGAGCGCATTTTACAGCCATTTGCAAGTCATTAGTGGAGGCTACAGTCACAGTTACTTGCCAGACTCAACAGTTTTTGGTCAAATGTGGACCTTCAGATGAAGAGAATGAGATTATCCTTCACTTTAATCATCCTACAGTACACGAGCAATGTAATGCTCATTGCTCTGATAGGCCAACGAAATTCCTTTTGAACGGTACACTACACTACCACCTCCTCAATCCGCTGGACGTCTCACCATCGGCGTTCGGGATTGATACTCACGGAGTTCCTCTTAAACATCAATGGTTTTCGGATATTACCATACCGAATATAGATCCCCTATTGGATGCCATTACAGGGCACTGGAAACTAACTCTGGCCGCTATTGGTACCGTATCTGGTTTGCTAGCACTAACCTATTTGGGAGGACCAATGATGCTCCTCTATTTGGTTTTCATCGATTAACTCAGTTATTATCAATTTCCTCAAGATTGTTTGGAATGCTATCATTTGCTGTTGGGATGCAGTGTGGGTAAAGAATTCGACTGCCGATGTCACCACTGCATGATATCGGCAAAAAGCGGGATCTGCGCGCTCCCACACTCCAAAAATGAACCCCACGTATGTGAGTTCTACCGGCTTTCCTTTTTTATACGGAGGATACCGGATTACTCCGCCGACGGACAGACGGGAACCTAATTAAACTCGATATTCGGGGATGCTGCGAAGCTTCTCCGTATAACGCGCGGGCTTGTATTCGTCAATATTCATATTCAACCGTCCTGCGATCTTTTGATCTACTCGGTACGCAGTTGTACATAAAACTAAAAATAAAAGTCTGTGGTCAAGTTGCAAGTTCAAGCTATCCCGCCCTAGCGCGGTAGCAATGCTCAATAGCTCTCAGCCCTTTTTACCTTCGTTTACCATGGCTGCAAAAATCACAGCAACACTATTCGCTTCTTCAATCGCCGTCAACAACTTCCACCTGCACCTCCGAGCCGTCTACATCAGTCAACAAGCCGCATCGCCACCTCCAAGCCGTCTTCACCCATCAACGAGCCGCAGCCGCATCTACATGGGACAACCAGCTCATCCAAGGAACGATCAAATAAAATTTTTGTACATTTATCGCCGATCTATTGCCGCCGGCGGGAGTGTCGTCGACGACGACCTCCCTCCCTTTATCATGTCTATGTCAACGTCGAGCTCCCTCTCCGACTCTCGTGGAGGCGGGGCAAACCTGTAGATTTGTTTGGGTCATCATTCAACGTTTTTGGTGGCGTAGGAGACACTCGTCCCACGCCGTTACGCTCTCTCTTCACATAAGTAATAAAATTTCCACTGAACCGCCTTTTGTATTGCAAACGGGTCATAACCCAGTCTTCAGCACCCTGGCCTGGTCAGCCCGGGCGGGAGTCGAGCCGGGATTTGAACCCGGCGCCGCGCAAGTGGTAAGAGCGCCACTTGTCACTACACCACCTCCGCCTCACTGTCATAATTATTTTCAAGAAAATATTTCATGTTTACCATTTTCACTTAAATTCACCACTTTTCAAACCAAATTCACCATTCTTCTTAGACCAGGCAGTTCACCAACCAAATCACGCCAGACACCACCGCGAACCCGGTGCTAACGTATTTGGGGGGGGGGGACCACGCGGCTCGCGGCGAGTGATGACTCATCGGCTCTTCACTCATCGGCATACTTGAAGCGCGAATCTAGCAGCCAAATTAGAATAAAACAAACAAGATTCACCGGGAACTTGCTGAAGAATCCCACAGAAGCTAAAAATTTGATTTTTTGTAGTCAACAATAACAGTCAACAACAAACATGCAACAATCTTTTGTAGTTTAGGCAATCCAGCCTGAAACTGTTTCTTTGCACTTTTCAGTGTTAACTGTTTTACCTTTTGAATATAGCTAGGACGGTGTTATATTCATGTCCTAAACATGAAATTACTTCTATTTTGCGAGGAGGGAGCAGAAGAGCAGATGAGTCATCGCTCGCCGCGAGCCGCGTGGTCCCCCCCCCCCCAAATACGTTAGCACCGCGAACCCCGCCCGACGGTCACGCCTACTTGTCAGCGCGGACATAGATTTTCAACACATGACTGACTCCGCCCATTCTTTAAAGTTTGTTGCGAACTTCAAATCTTCATAACTTTTTCAATTTTTAATTTCACATCCACTCTTCGCACAACGAAGGTACTCGTAGACGCGCATTCATGCACCGGCAATTTAGGCTCCGCCCCTTTGGCCACGCCCACTTGCTGTTTGCGGAATTATGATATTTTTTCAAAATTTTTGCATTTTTGGACTGCCCCGTGAAGCCCCGCCCACTATGAGAGGCTCCGCCCACTTCGGAGAAGCCCCGCCCACTTTTCAAAAATGGTATCGGCAGTATAGAGCCTTGGCTTGCATGCTAGGGACCTCGTCCGTCACTCGGAACAAATAAATCAGGCAAAGTTTGTTCCTAATGACCAGCAATACCCTTGCCATGCAAGCCATGGCTGCCGATTTGCACCATTTTTGAAAAGTGGGCGGGGCTTCTCCGAAGTGGGCGGAGCCTCTCACAGTGGGCGGGGCTTCACGGGCAGTCCAAAAATGCAAAAATTTTGAAAAATTCCGCAAACAGCAAGTGGGCGTGGCCAAAGGGGCGGAGCCTAAATTGCCGGTGCATGAATGCGCGTCTACGAGTACCTTCGTTGTGCGAAGAGTGGATGTGAAATTAAAAATTGAAGAAGTTATGAAGATTTGAACAAACTTTAAAGAATGGGCGGAGTCAGTCATGTGTTGAAAATCTATGTCCGCGCTGACAAGTAGGCGTGACCGTCGGGGCAGGGTTCGCGGTGGTGTCTGGCGTGATTTGGTTGGTGAACTGCCTGGTCTAAGAAGAGTGGTGAATTTGGTTTGAAAAGTGGTGAATTTAAAGTGAAAATGGTATATCTCCTGCTCTTATACTGCTGTGGGTACGACCCGGTCCGTTACTTGTAGAGAACGTAAGCTTGTATCTACTTTCCGTAAACATACATCAATCTATGGCATCTGTTTTCGCAGGTTACCTGACAAGATGTTTTCCTGAAGTCGTCTGGCATCCCAGTCACCTCCTGAGTATGTTAACTTGTGGCAACGGATGAAATGTGTACATGTGTCTTCTTGGACCAATTGTTTTCAGACCTTCAGTATGTGTCTTTGCGTTGTGCCTGATCTTGAAGAGCATTACTAAGTTTTATTGCATTCTGTTTCGTATACCAAACTGAAGAATGCATTCAAATTTTCGTAATGACAGTATGTTGTATCAGACAGAGACGTGGCAGAAAAGATTCTCGTCTCACGGTTGCTCCCTCATCCTGTTAACTTGTTCATGGAAGTGCTCTTCACTTTGGGTTTTTTCAGCTTTCCTCTCTGAAAACAAATGTGTGTAAAAGAGCTGTGCTATTCTGAAAACGAGCTCTGTATGAATGTTTACATACCGACTAATACCACATTCTGAAGTTGTGGCTTAGCCACTTCTCTTGTTAATTCTCTTCGTGGAGCAAGGTCACCGGAGGCAGATGTAGGACCGACAGTAGCTGCAGGCTTGAGGTGTTCCAAGATTTTGTTCAAATTCATCAGGGAGACTGCATCACTTTTTGCTAGTGTGTCTTCTTTCCTTTCAATGGCTGCATAAGTCTGAACGGAAGAATTTTCATGGAAATGGAATACAGGAACTCACTTCATTATTTCGCACAATCTTTGATACCGCTGATCTATGCGGTGCTGGACCATGGGGCAACTGGGACAACTTGCTCATGCTCAGAGGTTCTAGTGCCAAGGCTTCAATACCTACTTCCGTATACTCCTCCACTGCTACCAGTGGACCTTCGCTTTCCTGTGATCCAGCAATTACTGGCTCCACTTCGAATACGTCGACTTGACACCTGATATCAGAAACTTCGTTGAGAGGCTAGCGGACTATGAGCAAACTTGTCTTGTATTTCTTATTCACTGGAGAATTCTTTGGAGAATACGTGTAATCTTGAGGTCGGAAATCAGCTCTATCGTCCTTGTGGAAACCCTTGCATTGGTTTGCCACAAGGACGATAGAGCTGATTTCCGACCTCAAGATTTAGGTTTGTCATTCTGGACCAGATATGAACTCATCGCAGATGGGACAGGACCATTTTGGTTGTGCTCGTATCCCTTCTTCCTTTATTTCGAGACGCTGATTCTCAGAGTAATTGTGCCTTTCTGCAGGTGATGACAAAAGCTACCCTTCACTGCCCCAACCATCCAGAATTGAGCCAGTTTTTGACCGACTTTTTTCTCCGTGGACAGATTTGGCTCAAATTTGTCTCCTGGGGTAGTTTGAGTTCCTGAACACGAATATCACTTAGCCCGGAACTTCCTAGCGCCCGCGCCACAGGCGCCGGTGATTCAGGTATATTGGCGGGTTAGCCATTATTGGTACGATCGTAACTACCTCTCAATATGAAGGTGCACGAAACTCACAAGTTTTCTGATTCGGTAAAGGCAGTGCGCCAACATAGACGACCGATTGCGTCCGAATCTCCTACTCAACCATTTTCGTCCGTTTTTGAAGCGATTTTTTGCCCTCTTTCGCCTCGACATCCCTTACTGCTATAGCTACTTAGAAGTGGTTATATCGGGAGCACTTTTGAGTTCTGATATATCTTACTTCGAAGCAGCTTTCAGTAGACAATGAATGGTACTTCGAGTGGTAACTTCGGTAAGTTTTTTAGTAGACATAAATTTGTGAAACATCGCTCACTGTTTCACCCAGCTGGCCAAAATTTTTTGTCACCAGTATATTTGGCTACAGCTCTATCCCCAAAATGAGCGTGCCCAAGGGGTAAACTAACCTTTTTTGAAAGATTCCAAAAAAATTGTGCCATTCATGGTCAGGAAGTCATACTTCCTCTGGAGACTGAAGTTTGCAGCAAATTTGGTAACTTAGGGGATTTTGCCACTGGTGCCTATGGCGCAGACACCAGGATATCTCAGGCCAAACCGATGTGACTTTCGTGTTCAGGAAGTCGACGTACCCCTGGAGACAATTTTCAGACGAATCGAAAATGCGACCTCAACTTGGAAAACTAAAAAAGGGTAAATAGGGCCAAGGATTGCGTTTTTGCAGCTGAACGGGAGGGCCGTGCCGACAGTAGTACAAAGGCAGAGGAAGCACAAAAGTTTCCTTGAAAACGATAATGTCAAAGAAACTCTGCTGATACTCGTATTGGCCAGCGTAGAGTACATTCACTGTGCCCTATGAGCGGATGAAAACAGTCGTGGGATTACGGTAGTCGGCAGTGGTGTGCAATTACACGGCTACCCTTCGTGTTTACGTAACATCGTCGGGAACGATGTTCAAGCTCTTTTCGCTCAGTATTCAGTTTTCCTGTCTCTTTCTTCTCGCATCATAGATGGGAGCGTATTCATATTTTTTTCGCGAATATTTCACAGCAAAAAAAGTTTTACGAGTCTGCACTGACGATGTCGAGACGGCTGTAGACACGAGTTTTTTTTGTTCGCTTTTTGTTGTATCTGGAAAAGCGTCTCCACATGAAGAAATATCTGCGTGGAAGGACCAGGAACCTATGAATGTTTTCACTTCTGCGGGACAGTATTCCTGCTTTCCGCACAGACAGCTTACACTCTGCTCTCGTACTGTAACTATTGCTTATATTCGGGCGGTGCTTCATTGTTTATTGTATGTTGGTCAGTCGACAGAAGGCTTCGAGCGAAGTTTGCAGCATTCCCAGTTTCATTTCCTAGGTTTACTCACCAAACAGAAACTATGATCCGTCTAACTCCATCAATTCTACGCTCTGGACAAAAGGTGATAGTTTTAGACCACTAAATTTTTTGCAGTCCTTGAAGTGACGAATTTTAAGATGCTACGTTTATCTGTTCGGACACTGATGCTACAAGAACATCATGGAATGGCAATACTTCAGAAAGAAGATATTAACGTAAGTGTATTGTATATATATAATATATGTATATATAGCTTCTGTTGTTACTCTTGCGCAGTAAAATGCACCCAGTTGCTTCAAAAAAACCAAGATTGCTGTTTGTGCACTCGCACGAAGTACAGCAAAGTATTTAGGAGTGTGGAAATGATAAAGCGGGAGATGTGCAGAATCTGCAGAGATAGGAGACTTGTAATTTTTTTGAAGAGGTGACGAATGCGAGGAAAGCTTCTTCAGGGCCAAGCGATCAACCATTTTCAAGTTCCTGTCGTCGATTTTGACATTTCTCTAGATTACGCCTTTCTTCCCATTTGGCAGATTCGTCATTTCTTCAAATTACCACGTCTACTTTCCTTTATATAGGCTATATTAGGCTATATTTCTTCGAAATCGTCGTATATGGACAGGGCCTTATGCAGGAGTTCGAACTTTTCCTTTCTGACCCCCATATCGAAGAAATTGTCAGGGGACGTATGCTATAATTCCTTTCGAAGGGAAGATATCCCTCAGTAAGCCTCCGCTGTCTGCCGTCATCTCTTGCCCATCGCCTCACGGCTTCAGCCTATCTGCATCCTGTTCCTCCCCCCCCCAGTCACCCGGAATCTCCCCCAACAGCATGTGTTGGGGGAGGGGGAAGGGATCGATTATTCTCTGTGCTGTACTATATTCGCTCAGAGCGTGCGCTGGAAGAGTAGAGCGGCGACAGCCAGGGAGACGAGAGGTATCAGCAGAGATAAGGGCAGAGAAAGGAGGTTTGTAAGGGGATTATCAGCAGAGATAAGGGCAGAGAATGGAGGTTTGTAAGGGGATATCTCCCCTCAACGGGTAGTATAGCATACAGAAATATGCTACTCTTCCAGCTAGTCAGTATGATAACATTAGGAGTGTAAGACAACGTTCAGACTTCGCGATCGCGCGATCCAGTCCGCGCGAACTGAATCGTGCGAACAAGTTCGCGCGAACTGGATCGCACGATTGGGATGGGTGAAATTCAACGGGGCCGCGTTCATGTTTGTTCATGTTTAATGTTTCTGTTCTTTCTTTTCTTTTCCTTCTTCCTTTCCTTTCTGTGCATAACGCCTTGAGTTTTTAGGGCACTATTGAACTATTCCTACCCCAAAAACTCAGGAAAAATTTTTTCGCTGAAACTTTGTCTATAGATGTTTCGATGTCCTGATACGAATATGACATTCATTTCTGGCGCTGGCGCCATTTGGCGCCAATAGGCGCCAACACTTTTCTCGCCAAATTTGATGCAAACTTGTATACGGGGTTAACTGACATCCTGATCACGAATATGGCATTTATTTTCGACGCTGGCGCCATTTGGCGCCACACCTTTCTTCCCAAAATCGATAAAAACTTGCGTAATAGGGTTGTTTGATGCCCTGATCACGAGTATGGCATTTATTTCTCCATACCAGCGCCATTTAGCGTTCTGCTGAGGCTGAACCTGGGAAAAGAGTGATTCCCTTCAGGCCAGGCTCAGTCCTAGCAAAGCGCAGATGACCATAGTGTCCTACGTTAGCGCGGCGCCAAGAATAAATGTCATATTCGTAAACAGGATGTCAAATAACCCCCGTATACAAGTTTTCATCGATTTTGGTGACATAGGGTGTTTTGGCGCCGGCGCCTGTGGCGCGGCAGTTTCGAGCGAAGCGGATGTGATATTCGTGTTCAGGAGGTCGAAGTACCCCTAAAAGCAAATTTTCAGCCAAATATGCCCTTGTAAAAAAGTCGGTAAAAAACCGGCTTCATTTCGGCAGACTGGGGAATGGTTAAATTGCCCATTTTTCTTTTTATGAATGCACTTGTATAATCAGGTTCCAATCATGTGAGGAGTTCGTTCGGCTACTAGTGGCCTACACAGCTCACTGACTTCTGAAAGTGTTGCTTTAATAATTTCTTTCACCAGTGAAACTTGCTCCCTAACAGAAGCAACGACAGTTTCCCTCCTGGGATCATCGGTGCGCATCGACTTTGCTAGCTCGCTGTCACACGTAATAGCTATACTCGCCACCTGACCCAGGAGTTTGTTTGACAACCGATCAAATTCTTTCAAAAACGTGTTACGTGTTCGTCAATCATATCATCTTCTCTGATCGGCGATCGGAGTAGTTCTTCCTCCATTAGTTGTGACATGATAGTCTGGAAGCAGTGTATACTTCTACAGAATTCTATTTTTATCTTTGCACACTCACTGAGAGGTAATGCAATTGAAAGGCCTGTATACCTGAATTGGCGGCTATTGACTGCTTAGATGTTCGCGGTCCGAAAGTCACGATCGATTGGGATCGGAATTCGACTACGCTACTCTCGACCTGAATGCAATTGATGCTCTTACTGCGAAGATGTTGCACCAATATAATGAAGTTTACCTTTCTGGCGCTATTGATCGCGCACTTCTTCACAGGTATTTTGAAATCACGATCGATCAGGATCGGGTTCGTTACAGCACCAGAAAGTTCGATGCCGCTCTACTTTCTATTCTATTCTGTTCTATTACTTAAATGGTATATAATGTATGTGCCAACGGTAGTTACGAAACCTCGTCAGTCGATAAACACGATACGCACGAACGTTCAACCAACGGCAACGGAATTCTTAGAAATGACTGAGTAGAAACTGGCTCAGCCAACAACACTATCGAATTGCACGGTTTGATTCAACCGGAAGATCGATAATATCAGTCACTCTTTCTTTTCTTATCAATCAGCCGTAACGGCTAAGAAAGAAAAGTTTTCGAATGTCACGGTTGAATCCAACCGGAGTTCAGAAGCGTTCGAATATCACGATCGACTGATCGGAGTTCGAGCGCACAAATCCTTGAAGTACTGCCAGCTCCTAGTCCGTCGTCCAAGTCGGCTTGGCCCCCATGTAGCGGACTGCTCCGCTGATCCGGTTCGGTCCTTGAAGTCGGCGAGGCGCTGGCGTCGGCGTCGAGCAGTCGGTTGCGTCCGTGGAATCGAAACTGACTGAAGCTCCTGCCGAGGGTATTTATACCCCGAGATCCCGCCAAAGAGGGATATTCAAACGCCGGCTCACTGGCTAGGAGTGGACGGCGATTATTGATCAGGCCTTAAGCCGATCACCTCTACAGCTCCTTCAAAATTCTTCGAGAAGATTCTTCTTCTTCTTTTGCAATATGGACAAGAATGGTATCCGCTTCCACGATGCTAATGCTTCAAGGCAGTAGCATAGTACAGTTGACGAAGTGAGGTTCGGTTATATACCATTTTCACTTTAAATTCACCCTTTTTCAAACCAAATTCACCCTCACTTTTCACATCAAATTAACCACACTTATTAGGGCGGGCAACTCATCAAGCAGATCACGCCAAACAATTATATACAAGTATTGGTCGAGTCCAGGATAAGTTTGAAGAGCGCAATTTTCCTCTTATAAGGGTCCGATTCTATAATCCGGCAGTGATTCTGACCACTCGGGATTCTTTTCAGTCTTTCAAAGTTTGCTGGAACCTTCCTTGATCTAGAGAAGGCATTCGACCGTGTCCCACGTGAAGTTATATGGTATGCCTTACGGCAGCACGGCGTTCCCGAAGAGCTGATTGAGTGGGTACGCATCCTGTACTTCAGCCCAACGAGTCGAGTGCGAAGTCCAGCAGGCATTTCGATGGGGTTCCCCATCACAGTTGGGGTGCACCAAGGCTCAGCGCTTTCCCCGCTGCTCTTCGTTGTCGTCATGAACGCCATTTCACGGGACCTCCAGAAGCCGGCTCCCTGGACGCTTCTCTACGCTGACGACGTGATGCTCGCCTGCGAGGATAAGAATGGTCTCGAGGAACAAGTGCAAGCTTGGACTGAAGCGGTTAGCAAACTTCGGACTCACTAGGGAAGGTCGTCAGGTCGAAGTGGCCATTTGTAATGAGATGTAGCTCACTAGACGTGGTTTTGGACGCTGATCTCGAATCTGCCTTCGAAATTTGCAAAGCGATTCTCTGAACGGAGTTATGGAGCTTTTTCCACCGCGTTTACCACGCAACAGGTCATGGGATCGGATCCCTGCTGAGCTTAACTTTTTTGCTTCTTGTGCTGGCAAAAAGTGGTTGGCGTCACTACTGCGTTAGCGCTCCCCTTGACTTGCCTGAAAAACAGTTGGCGTTTGCTTACTGGCGCGCTGAGCGGGTGCCATATCCGTATTTATGGGGGCGAACTACGCCTAGGTAGAGGTTTCTAGCCAAATCTGGCATTTTGACCTGACTTCGAAAAGTGAAGCATCCATGGGTTAGTTCAGTTGATGTTCACACCTATTCAGCTGCAGATACATTCTCCTGCACAAAGCCTCGTCTTGCCACTTCTTACGCATTCATGTTACTGCTCCAGTTTTCCTGGTATCTAAAAGCAAATTCCGTCCAAAGACAAGCAATCGACAAGAGACTGGCCCTGGAACTATTGGTGACCATCATTCGATCAACTGCTACCGCACTTTTCAAAGTTAGGTCAAAACCTCACATCTGGCTAGAAACCTGTCCCCAAGGGTAGTTTTGCTCCTTGAACACGTATATGGCACGAGTAATCTTAATGCTTGACTTTTTTCTTTCTGTCCATTTCAATTCAGTTATCAATTTCGTGTTCAGAAATGAAAAACCAACCCAACCGAGCTGATTATTTTTTTGATTAATGCTAAGGAAGGCGATCCAGGGCCTTATTTTAATCATCAAGTCTTTTCTCCAGGCTAGTCTACGAAACGTGAAATTCCTTACGTGTTGTGGACTCTCACCCGAACACCAGTGCATCCTTTCATAATTTTCTGATTGACAGCTGTGACCATTGATATAACTTAAACATGTGATTACGCACGTAACGTACATGGTAAGGTATCCAAGTATATCTTAGCCTGTCTTGAGAGGTCGCGCTTTGAGTCTCTTATTATTGCTTTGAGTCTACTAGTATCGAGACAACTTATGATTTCACCTCGATGGTGATGTATTAGGCGCTTAACTTTCTCAGTACGCCACTGACCAGGTTTGATTGTCTATCATGTAATTCCGTTGAATGGCAGGTACTCCTATTTTGCTGTCATTTTACAAAGATGCAGTTAACTTTTTTTCGAACAACTCAGCTACTTTTTTAAGGTTCCACCATTTGGCGTTGCCAAGACGGCAGAGGAAGCCAGAGAGCATGCAAAACGAATAGGTGCGTTTTGTGGCGTTTTCGTTGAGAGGATCTCTGTTCTATCTTTCATGTGATTCAGGCGGTAAAGATTATGTAATAAAAGCGCAAGTGCTGGCCGGTGGGCGAGGCAAAGGGCGGTTCGATTCAGGTCTCCAGGGCGGAGTTCAAGTTGTTTTCACGTAACAATTAAGTCTTTTTCAATTATGACTATCGTCTGTTTGATCCGTTGGAATTCAGACCCGATGAAGCGATGGAGAAGGCGAGAATGATGATTGGAGCTAACCTCATCACAAAGCAAACAGATCACCGTGGAAAGCTGTGCGAAGAGGTGCAATCGTGCAAGTTACCACGGCTTCTGCTCGTGCTCGTTTGATGTTACATAATATTGTTTGGCTAAAGAATCTCACTGGGGTGCATAATTATGCAGTATATATAATCTATCTATTAGGACGTCCAAGTTTGCGCAGCGGAAGCGATGTTGCAAGTAGCGTCGCGGGGTAGGTAGGTCAAGTATGCGTCGAGGAGGGAGTCGTCGACACGAAGTGGGGTCGTATGTAGTGAGCGGAGCAATGACAACGTTTGTAGGGGAAATGCCTTGGAAGCGGAGCTGATGATGCTGGTAATATTGTACAAATTAATGAGAAAATGTGATGAATTATATTGTTTCCCAGTGAAGTTCTTGTTTCATTATCTATTCTCGTTGAATAATAATCATAAACAGCGAAAATTCTCCATCCGATCCGCCACTTACTCCGTGCAGGCTCATCTATGAGCCAAGCAACTTTCGCACACTGTATATAATTTGCTTCGTCCGCCAAGAAAAGATATGGACACAACTTCCACACACTACATATAATTTGCTTCGTCTGTTTGTTTGTCTGTCCGGAAATTCGGTTCGACCTGAAGAACAACTTGGAGAGGTCGGGTCAAGGTGGGGATGGGTAGGGCATGGGACAAGATGTAAAGAGCACACACGAACTATGCGAAGCCCCGCCCACAGTGAGTATGCCCCATGCACCGAAAGTTGGCGGGCCGCAGCCAAAAACTTCTAGCTCTTTTCCAAAGCTCCGGATTTGGGGAAAAAGAAGAATGAGGTTAGCAAGGGGTTGTTAGACTAGACAGTGGAGACATATCCAAAGTGGGCGGAGCGTACTTGAGGTAGGCGGCGCATACCACAAACATTAACTCGGTTTCCGAGAGAGTTTAGAGATGGCAAGTCGATTAGGAGGGCAGCATCTGGGGAGGGTTTGGCATGCCTGAGGTGTGTTGAGACCCGCCCACAGTGGGCGGAGCTTGCCCTCAATCGCATAGGGTTCATTTCGAAAATTTGTAGCTTGGTTCCAGAGCACTCCAAAGACCGGAAAAAAGTGGATTAAGGTCAGCAAAGGGTCGCCGGTAAGAAATGTGGGGCACACATGTTGTGGGCGGGGCCTGCCCGATGTGGGCGGAGACAGACAAGTAAGTCTGCAGCTCGGTTCAGAAGAACTCAAGGAACAGAAAAAAATGGATTAGGATCATCGAGGGATCAACGGTTGAGAAGTGTGGGGCACGCACTCTGTGATCGGAGCCTGCTCCGAGGTAGGTGGAGTCAGAGAGGAACTCACAAGGAATGGATACCAACTCGTCCTGGCCATTCAGGATGGGATGTATACTCCTAGAAGCATCTTTGGACGCTGATTATCAGATCTGGCTTCCAAATCTGCTAAACGATTCTGGGAGAGAAGTTACGGACCTTTTTTCCTACTGTGCTTAACCATTGCGGTGGGCCCCCTGCCCATACTTTGAGCATGTGAACCCCTCGTGACACTTCCGCAACCGTGGCTCGATGGCGCAGCAGGTAGGTGAGCGGGCTCGTAGTGGTGGGACAAAGGTTCGGATCCTTGATGCATTTCGTAGTTTTGCTTTTTCTTGAAACGTATGCTAAACACTTGGAAAGTAGTTTTACGTACCAGTTCGGACAGCAGGGCCCCCGCTCTGCTCCTTATTGAGCCCTGTGAACGAAATTGGGGAGATATTTCATTACGACTTCAGGGAATGCATTGAAATTGATAGCGCTGATGTGGCAGCCTTATTTGGGGCATATATTGCTGTAACTAGTGCGGAACATTAAGCGAGCACATAAGATATCTTGATACAAAATGGCGGGTTGGCACGGGATACTTGTAAAAGCTCCAGAAGTGTATCGCTCTGTTACTGCACCAGTCATCCGAAATCTGGCCAGTTTTTGACCGACTTTTTTCTACGTGGCAGAATTGGCTAAAAATTTGTCTCCTGGGGTAATTTGACCTCCTAAGATGAATATCACATCCGCTCGGCACGAAACCTCCCGAGGCCCGCACCACAAGCGCCGGCGCCAAAATTCTCCAAATCACCGGCGCCTGTGGCGCGAATGTCAGGAAGTTTCGGGCCAAGCGGACATGATATTCGTATTCAGGAGGTAGTACCCTAGAATGCAATATTTGGGACAAGTCTATTCAAATAGAGAAAAGTCGGTCATAAATTGGGCCTATAATTACTATTCTCTTCTATTTTGGCGAGCGGTCGATTTCTGATATTACTCTCGCAAACTGACGCACCAAGTTCGTGGTTCGTAGAATGAATTGATCACATTTCGTTCACTAATTTGTGTTCACGGCGTCAGCCTCGCAGAGCAGAAAGGACAGCTCTGCTTCCATATCCTTTCTCTGACAGACCTTAGTGCTCTGCTCATTATTGTCCTATGCATACGACATCCACCCCTTCTGTGCGTTTTAAACGATCCCCATGTTAAGGATTGACGCACGCTTGAGCTTGTCTGTGGCAGATGGTTATTGGACAAGGGTAACTTCAACCTACACATTTTACTTTCGCTCCTTTCTTCTGGCGAGATATTGAATAGAACTCACCTCTTCATTACTCTAAAACCTATTTCGCTAGGGATGGTCGTCAGTCGAAGTGGCAAATTGTAATAAGACATAGATCACGGGGCGTACGTACTTTTGGTCGCTAATCTCAAATCTTTCTCCGACATTCGGAGAACGGTTCTCTGAGCGGAGTTATGAAGGTTTGTTTGACTGAAGGGAAACATAGTAATGTGCAGTCGTCGAATAGCACTATGCCTAAATATCCACGAGGCGGGTTTTATGGAAGACAAGTTTTTGCGTTTTGTAAAGAATGTCTGTTTTGAGTTTAGAAAACAGTTTTAAGGATAGATCCCAAGCCAAAAGGGTCGCTTGTGGTGGGATCTACACCATCGGACGCGTTTTTTGACGCTGTTTCCAACATGTTTGCCTGCGCCCAACAAAACGGTTTTTGCGTACGGGTGCCCGTAGTGCCCGCAACAAGCGCTTTCGTGCCAATCGGGTGTCATATTCAAGTTCAGGTAAAAGATTTTTGTCCAACTTCGAAAAAAGAAGAATAAGAAGCGTGCGAATAGTAGCAGAAAGTAGTTT